TATTACTCACCATCTGATTAAACTTGCATTATACTTTATACAAAAGATTCACAAGTATGCATATACCAAAGAGCATACATATTCAAATGGTAATTCACAGATTTATAGCACATAATCGTTCATATCGAAACACTTAAGCATATTCTTGATGCCTTCAGATTCATATTTATCACATAAATGCATCCTAGATCTTATCTAGACGCTTATTGCTCTTTTTGGACAAGTGTGCGAGTTATTAACTCGTACTCTGATACCACTCTGTCACGACTCGAACCCGCCCCTATGGGTTAAGGCCATAACCGGCCAGTAATCACGAGATTACCTACAGCCTCAAACCAAATAAGACAAGACTTATCAGAGTAAAAAGGGCTAAACGGAAGCAAATTTAAAACTTTGTCCATAGAGCCGTGCTTATATGCACACAATAACATTCCATATGTACATATGTTAATAACTCACAACAGAAAGTGTAATGACATAAGATTCTATACAGACAGGATCATCCAAACTAAGTCAACCCATGAAAACTATATACAGACGTATTCAAAACTTCGCCAACCTGACAAAATGTGAATACATAACAAAAGGGCGAAGACGGGTCTCGTGTGTGAGACACAAGGGCTGACTCTCTCAAAACCTTAGTTGTTCCATACAGACTTCATTGAGGTTGGGTCTGGACTTCTCTTGGCTCACCTACAAACACATGAATGAGCGTGAGCGAAAGCCCAGTGAATAATATCAAATCAAATACAGAAGTTACATAACAATGTAGAACAACATGTTCCAAACGGCCTTGGGCCCAATTCATATTTCTATTTAACAGATATATAACTATACGAAATTCAAATCAAGTGACTGTAGTTCCAAACATTCTGGCCTTTGGCCCAATCAAATTTCCATTCATGTCAAAACGGCCTTCGGCCCATTCATTTATGTCAAAATGGCCTTCGGCCCATTCATTTCTATCAAAACGGCCTTCGACTCATTCGTTTACGACAAAACGGCCTTCGGCCCATACATTCGTGTCAAAACGGCATTCGGCCCACTCATTCATGTCAAAATGACCTTAGGTCCATTCATACATGTTCAAATGACATTCGGTCCACTCAATTCTATCAAAACGACCTTCAATCCATTTATTTTTGTCAAAACGACCTTCGGTCCATCCGTTTACGTCAAAACGGCCTTCGACCCATACATTCGTGTCAAAATGGCCTTCGGCCCACTTATTCATGTCAAAACGACCTTAGGTCCATTCATACATGTCCAAACGACCTTCGGTCCACTCATTTCTGTCAAAACGACCTTCGGTCCATTCATTTACGTTAAAACGGCCTTCGGCCCATACATTCGTGTCAAAACGGCCTTTGGCCCACTCATTTATGTCAAAACGACCTTAGGTCCATTTATTTCTATCAAAACGACCTTAGGTCCATTTATTCATATCGAAACGACCTTCGGTCCATTCATTCGTTCATGTCAGACTTTTGTCCACAATCCCAATTAGCAACTCATAAAGCTTATAAGGGAATAAACAGTTGGACATTGCTAAGCTTTCAAATATTGATATTACTCACAGTGATTGGCTTGTGGATTTGCCCCGGAGCTTAACCATATACATTTCATGAGCACAAAAGGGTCACTAACAGTTCAATCCGTTCTTTAATTCACATATTCCTCTTTAGGCTTTATTCTTATCTCGTTAACTCATTTACAATGCTCAATGCATGCCTAAGAGTGCTTACAAGTGAAAGAAAACGGAAAACAGAACACAGAATGCAATTTCAGAATTTCAGAAAATAAGGTCCCTGCTCAAGCGTGGACTTCCCCGCTCGAGCAGACACTTAAGGCCTGCAAAATTACTGGTTACATCAAAATCACGCTCGGGCGTTAACTCTGCCGCTCGAGCGGATGGCCTGTCTACATAGCTCCCCGCTCGAGCATCAACTTCTCCGCTCGAGCGAGAACCATGTCTGCAAAAAGTGCTGAGAGCACGATTTTCCCGCTTGAGCGGCACTTAACCTGCTCGAGCAGACATAAAAAATCTGGGTTTTCCAGATTGAGTTCTTGAGCTCCAATTCGATTTTCAACCAACAAATCATGGATGTTATGGCTCAATTCTCAAATATAAGTATACTAATATGATGTAAACCCCAAATCTCAACCCAATGGAGCTCAATTCACAATTAATTCACATGCATGCCCCAATCTCCCATCAAACTCATTCTAACATAACAAATTCATACATTCAAACTCATATCTTCATAAATTGTACATGCATGTGATGAATTAGCTACATTCTCAACTTAGACAACACAAATGGTGATCAAAACTTGAGTTTCAACCAAAACTCTACTTGAATCATGTATTTCAAGCTTATACATGCTATTTCAACACAATTTCTTACATGCATGCTTATGCCAAGCTTTAATTCAACAAAACCAACCCAATTTCATTTCAATCTTACTCTTGATCACCCAATTAGCTTGAACACACAAAATTACAAACTATAATCCAAGAATTACTCACCTAGAAGCTTTGATTCTCACAATCTATAACAATTCTTGGATTATCTTCAAGGTTCCCAAGCTTTAAGCTACAATTTGCACAATTCTCTCCTCTCTTCCTCTCTACAGCCGACTCTTCTCTAATTTGAGTCCCAAATCAGTCAAATGAAGCAAGAATGGAGAATAGAGGGTGTAGTGCCCTTACCCAACAAAACCCACTATTGGCATTATAATAATAATAAGGTAATGGGGCACTAATTAATCGTTTTGAATCTAATTATTTTGATCCGAATCAATTTCCAATTAAATTTCACCGTAAGTTCTAAAAATTATGCCAATCACAATGGCGTAATCGATTTCGGGTTTTATGGCCGATAAAGCCTCCAATTTAATTTCCAAAGCAGATTATTCAAACAGATATTCCTACGATGAGTAGATAGAACTTCGAAATCACATATATTCACAAAATGGCACATAAAATCATATTAAACACATCATCATACTCGTATTAAGGACCAATTAGCATACTACAGAACAGAGGTATTACAAAACATATCTAACCAAACAGCTTTAACTTTGTAGCAAGTTCGAAACAGATGGTTCATGTCTTCCACCTCATTACAGCTGGGACAGTCAGGGTCTAAAGACAGACCTCTTTTCTCTCTCAAACTAATTAGTTCAGATTTTACCATGCATAACAATCCACAGAAAGCTTTTAAGTTTCTGTGGTAGCTGTAATTTCCACATCCAACTCTAGTCTTCCTCCAGTCCTAAGTTACCAGAAATGATCCTGTAAACACTAGAAGTAGAGAACTTTCCATCACCTGGAACTTTCGAAGTAGGTAAATCAACATTAGCATTAAGAGGAGGTAAATCAAGGATAAGTGATCAAACACAAGATGGAAGTTCATTATCCCAATCTCCTTATTCATTAATAAGATTGTGCACTAAGACATTCTTAGTACCAACAAATTGATTTTGCAGAGTCTGCGGAACAAACTCAACAAATGGCTTGTCACCACACCACTAGTCACTCCACAAATCCACATTCTTACCATTACCAATCTCCCATTTCACACCTTTCCTCAAGGTGTTTCTGGTTTTCAAAATGCCACTCCACACATGAGAAGCAGGCCTACTTCTAGGCCAATCATTAAGTTTGTTGTCTTAAGATATTTATTCTTAAGGACATCTTTCCACAAGGCACCTGTTTCACAAATCAGTTTGCAGCTCAACTTAGTAAGTAGAGCTAGGTTCTGAATTCTGGTTTTCCTAATCCCAAGTCCACCCAATTTTTTCAATTGGCAAACCTATTCCTATTTGACTAAATGCATTTTCCTTTTTTCTGGGGTGTCACCCCACAGAAAATTCATGTTGAGTCTGTCGATGTGATTACACACTTTAATGGGCACATCCATAGTTTGCATTGTGTATGCAAGCAATGCAAAACTAATAGATTGAATGAATGTTTTTTTACCTGCTAACGAAAGTACATTAGCTTTCCAACCAGCTAGTCTCTTTTGCATTTTTTCCAAATTGTGTTGAAGTGCCCTCTATTCACTCTACCATGAATAAGGGGAACTCTAAGATATTTCCCCAAATCATCATTCAAAGGAATGCCACATTTGAAACTCATCTCTCTAGCTTTCTTTCTATTAATGTTAGGGGAAACATACAATTTGGATTTAGGGGCATGGACTTTCAAACCAGAGATCTCACAAAACTCATTCATGACATTTATAATTGTATCACAATTATTCATATCAGCTTTGGCAAAAAACATCAGATCATCAGCAAAGAATAAGTGTGTCAGGCATGGTCCACCCTTAGCAACTTGAACCCCTTTCCACAACTTATTCCCTGCCTTAGATCTGATCGTATTAGATAGTCTTTCCATACACAACACATATAAATAGGGAGAGAGGGGGTCACTCTGCCTCAGCCCCCTTGTAGGTTTAAAATGTGGCAGGGGTTCACCATTCCACAAAACAGCAGTAGTAACAAATGTGACACAACACATCACAAGCTCAATGAAGCTATTCTGGAACTTAACTCCCTAAAAGTATGTTCAAGGAAGTCCCAAGATATGTTAAGCATATGAACAATTTCATTTTTTGTATTGCCAACATGTTAAAAATCAATTAGAAAAAGGTGTTCCCTTTTATAGGTGTAATGTTTGGAATCTTATTGTTGTAAGATTGTGTTTGGTTTAAAGATTTGGAGAGAGATTTACAAAGGGAAAATGAAAATAGCGGTGAAATGTGAATAATATATATATATATATATTTCATTTAATTTCACATATATTTTTCCTTTTCCTTTTCCTTTCCAAACTTTCCCTAAATCTTTGAACCAAATATAGTCTAAATGTATTCCCCCCATTATTGTCATACCGATTTTTAAAAAAAAAATAAAAATACGTAGTTAGGTTTTTTGTTATGTGAATTCATGAGATCTAAAAATATGGTTATATTAAATTGATGACAAATATCATTTTTTAAAAAAACTTTTTTTTATATTTTATTTTAGAATATTAACCACAACCATCCATAGCCAGAAACATATACAAAAACATTTTAAGCTCTCCCAAAAATCAAAGAGCAAGCCTGGTATTACACATCAGTTGCTATTTACAGCATTAGTTAGAATTACTTAGTACTATTTGTTCCCAAAAAAACACAACAGCCTCTTAAGCTTCAATCTCTCTCCTCTGGGTTGAAGTTTTAATCCTATAAACATGCTCCTCCCCTGTGCCCTCATCTACTTTCACAACCCAATGACTCTTCTTCCCACCACCACCAAATCTACCACCACCAGCACCAGCACCTATTCTACTCACCAACAACCCCTCTCCAATGGGCAAAAAATGAGTATTGAATTCACTCAACCATTGTCCCTTTCCAAAGGCATTGTACCCTACAACTAAGCCACCGCCATGATTCACACCCTTCTGCGCGACCAGAGAAACCTCATTGTGATCATCCAAATTGCAATCGATGAGCACGAAATCTGCACCTTTGAATTCATTTAGCAAAAGGGTCTGAGCTTTTCCTATGACAAACTCCACAAAATGTACATAATGTCCTAAAGCAATTTGGGATGGTTTTAGCTTGTCATGCCCGGTTAGGATGCAGACTACGCGACCACCAGTTTGATGGGCTGCAGCAACCATGGCTAGGGTGCTGGAACCTGCAATGGCTGCACATGCTATGACCATGAGCTGTGCATTGTTGCCTGCCGCCATCGCGGATATGAACTCGGCTACATCGGGTTCCTTCCCTCTCTTCCCCTACAATTTTCAACACAAAACATGCATGAGCCATAAGAAGAGATGTGATAATGATAACTATCATCATTTTTTTTATTTCATTCTTAAAATTTTCAATTTCAGCTATTTTGCGAATGAGGTTTGGTTTTTATTATTACCGATATGGACGGACAAACTTTACTTGGACTATATGGATTGAAAAGAGAAACTTTATTAGGAACTAGACAAATGAATTAGAAAATATATATATATATATATATATATATGATAGTAGTTTAGTTTGTTTTTTGAACAATAGTAGTTGAGTTGATAAAAGTGAAAATTGATGACATTTTTTAAGAAATTGGATACAAATCATGACAAGAGGGTTAATTTAAAAGGGAATGAGCCATTTCAAATTGGACACTAACTTCTCAATTATTTTGAGAAGAATGAACGAACTATTTATCTTTTGATTTCAATTCAATTTTAATAAGGATATATATTACCAATTAGACTAAATTGATAAATTTTGAAAAAAAAATTCAAGAATAAATTTAATATAATTAGATCTACGACGTTCAAATTGACACAAAAGACATTATATGAATTACGGATGTAATTTTTCCTAAAAATAATCAAAAGTTGACAATGCTATAAACATAAAACAGAAAGGTACACAGAATGCAATATTGAAAACACTCCAATCTTCCCCAGGATGAATGCGCTGACGCTTATGAGAGCTAAAATGTGAAACAAGAAGTGAGGGAAGTGCTCCATGTTGTAATGAGAGGGACTAAAAAGAGACATTGATGGGCTGCGATTGCTTACCATTCTTAGGGCTTTGAGGTAGGCTTTAGTGGCATTCTCAGCAGACCAGCAAGCCATTCTTCTCTTCTTGTTTAGTTTGTTATGTGGGTTAGGTAATCTTCTTCTGGTTCAAAGGGTTTTGTTCTTTGCATATTCAAGAGATGAGCTATGGCCTCTCATATGCCAATATATATCTATTTATACATCCAACATTATATTTATATTTCATTTCAAACATTAGGAGGGGTAGCAAGCAACTGAGGAAGGTTGTGATTCAAAAGATAATGTTCACAAGATTATAAAAGATAAATAAATAAGGTGACAAGAATCTTGTTATATAGTATTAAAATTGAGAGATCGATTCTAATCTTTGTTTTGAAGAAAAAAGACATATTTAGCATGGCAAGTAGGTTTAGTATATACTAAAGTTGGGTTGTATTTGTGTTGTTTCAGCATTTGATCAACAAATTACTTTAACAAATAAGATCGAAAATGAAATTTCATGTTTTTGTACGATGATTTTACATAGCATAGTCAAGAACAAAAAAAAGAAATTTTATGTGATGGTTTAGAGTGGTTAGTGGTTTTGGCAGCAAACCACTGAAGTTGAAATTAGCTAACCTGTTCAGATTGAATTAATCATAATTCTATCAAATCGAAGATATTAATCAATTTCAGTTTACAAATCATTGATCTATTTTAAATTTGAAATTTAGAGGTAGGTCCAATTTTAAGCTTTACGTAACCATAGCAATGCAATTAAAAACTGAAGTAACGAAAAAAAGAGAAGGATATTGTCTCGAGTTTGTAAAATAATTGGACAACAATTGGGGTAATTCATAAAATAAAATAAAATTTAAATTGATATGATAATTACACCTGCATAATTTTTTATTTTTTTATTTTATTTTATTTTTACGAAAGATGAGTGGTACTTGTCCATTTTTGAAAGAAAAATAGGTGGCCATGTGCAATCTGATTTTTATATTTTATGGATGAATACACATGAATCTACAAAATAAATAAAGTAGATTATTAAAGTGAGACTTGTGATAGGTTAGAACTAGACATGTCATTTAGATTTGAATCTCCTAACCAGTAAATCACACCTTGGAGTCACGAACCGCAGGGCGTAAGCCTTGTTTCAGAAGGCTTGTTCGGACTATAGGGATTTAGTCTGGTGCGTGTAAACTGGCCCATAATACTTTATATAAAAAATATATAAAAAAAACATGTCAGGTCCATATTCAATCCTTATAAGGAAAAGTGATATACGTAAACAATTTTTTTATGTGGTTTTATTTATTTATTTCTAACCACAAAACAGTACTATCTTTTTGTTTAATAATAAGAAATGAATTTATATATCACATTGACCGAATATCATGCCAACTAGTACCATGAACAATCCAACAATAGTAAACATTGCCTGCCAAGAACATGATCAAAATTAATTAATTTGTGCGTTTCACCATCTTCTCTGCAGATCCCTAATTAAATTAGAATTTGATATTCTGCAAGTATATATATTTCTGAATTCCACACCATTCCCAAAATATTCACATATGAGCTGTGATGTTCTCAATTTAGCAAACCACAATGCATATTAAAATGAAGAGCACAACTAGCTATTAAACTGTTTTGCTGTGTTTTGGGATGACAAACCATGCAACCTCCATGTTCATTCATGCAGAAGCAACAAATCTAGATGCTGAAAATAAATAAATAAATAAATAAAATTATAGACGCATGAATGTGGGAATAGTGAAGAAAATGATCAAGAAATAATAATAACGCGTACAAAAAATCTAAGGCACACGAGTGTGAGAATTGCAAAAAAAATCCATCAAGAAATAATAATCAGGTGAGAAAGATTGCAAATTTGCAATAGAAAATACTTTAATCCGGTAGATTAGTAATAATTTGCTATAACAACCGACAGAGAGATCTTAATCGTATCACTTTGGGTCGTGTACATAATTTCATATTATGTATTCATAATAATAGCCACCCAAACCCCTGCACTTGTATTGAAATCTAATTTTTAGTCTCTACACTTTTCAATTGTGACAATCAATCTTTTTATATTTTAGACCAAATGCCAATCTCGCTCTTCTGTCAATTTTTTAATTTTACATGAGACCAACATAATTGGATTTTTTTCTTGTAGTAATTTTACATCTAACTTGCTTTGTTTTTGGCATTCTTCCTTGCCAAACCATGATGTAAACGTGTGTGTATATATATATATATATATATTTTGGTATTTTTCTCTGTTATATGCTATATAACAATGATATATGCACATTAAATATGAAGGTTTAGTGAAGAAGATATCCAAAAAAAAGTTGAAGTATGACTGTAGGGATATATTTTCTGAGTCTCAACACGTGGTCAAGGTGATGCCGATGTGTCAGCCGAGATGCCACGTGTCCAGCTTATGACGCTGAGGTTATCTTAGCAAGGCCGAGGTAATCTCCGAAGATATCAGAATCCGAGATAAGCGGATAAGGGACAAGAGTCCTAGAATGATGAAGAACTTTGGCATGGATAAGGATAAAGCTTTTAGAGAGTTTATCTTTATCTCTTGAAGAGTGCAGGATAAGCACTGAGCAAGAGTCCATTGAAGCTAGGCTTCTAGTGGGACAAGAATTGAGTTAATTATAAAAAAGAGGCACCCCCATGGGTCTAAGGTACGCAATTTATATTCTGAATAGTAAGTTTAGCACTATTGATTATCTTTGAGAGATATACTGACTTGATCGTCGTAGTGCCCCCGAGTGGACGAACCACCGTCGGAATCTTCTCTTTCTGTTGCAGGTCAGCTAGGTGTCATCTATTCTGCCAGTTCTCTCCAGCTGAATACTGAGTTGGGCGGTGTGATCGAAAAATCACTCACACAATTTGGCGCCGTCTGTGGGAAAGAAAAGAGAATAGATCGCCAGTGACGGACAAAAGGAAAAGATTGGGGATGACACTCCTGCTAGGAGTGGCAGACCTATCGACCTTGACGTCGAAAGAGACCACCGCAACACAGAAACTCGTGACCAAAATCACAGCAAGAAAGACGTCAGCTAGGATGGCAACGCACCAAAAAAGCCAGATCAAAGTGGGTACTACAATGAGGATGACCTCTAGGTGTAGAAGGATAGATGCCTGCGGAGGGATGAAGAGGTAAAGAGATGGCAAACAAATTGGCAGACCTGCAATCGGTCGTCAATTTCATGATGCAAAACAATGTCATGCAGCCACCATACCCGCTGCAAGACACGCCGATTCCAACGGCCAATGCCTAGAAGGGAGGGCAGAAAACAATCCCCGTAGCCCCTCAGCACAACGGGAGCGAAAGATACTCTCACCGACTTTCCAGGGAGGTCGGACGAAGAGAGTCAAAAAGAGAAGAATCGCGGAGGACGTATCGCACAAAGGAGGCAGACCCCAAAGGACATCAGAATGTTCAGGGGCAGGCCCTGTGCTTCGATACAACTCATGGAGAAGGATCAAAGAGAACTCACCACGAAGCTGAAAGTAATGCACCAAAAAGATTGAAACCAGGAGATAGCCGAGCTCCTGGGCGGACAAAGGAAGACTTAAGAGATTACCTCAAGAGGAAGCAACGAAATACCGACACTAAGGTAACTTCCCCAGAAAAGCCGAGGACACCATTCTCGGTGGAGTTAGACAAGTTTGAGGCACCGAAGAAATTCAGTATGCCGAGGTTTCAAATATAAGATGGTAAGTCAGACCCCAACTTCCACGTTGGGTTATATTTGAACTCAATGGCATTATATAGTGGGAACGAGCCGTTGCTCTACAAAGTGTTCCCCTCATCTTTTGGAAAGATTGCATCAGATTGGTTCCACAAATTACCAAAGGGAAACGTGAAGACTTGGGAAGGCCTGGCCGACATGTTTGTGGCCAGGTTCGTGACAAACAAACTGCAGCCATTAATGGTGGACGCATTAATGGCTCTGAAGATCAGTAAGGAAGAAGGCCTTAGGGCCTATGCAAAACGGTACTACGAGGTGTTCAACCGAATACCAGAATGTAATCAAGAGATGGTGGTCGTATCATTCAAGAACGGCCTAAAAGACAACTGTCCACTACGAAAATCTTTGGCAAAGACATTGCCAAAAAGCATAGAAGAGCTCATGGCGAGGATCGAGAAGTATGCCAGGGTCGAAGAAGATACATCGGGGACTAATGAGGTAAAGCAAGAAAAGGGAAACGGCTCGCCGAAGCGAGGCCGAGGTAACAATGGATTGAGCAAACAAGAGACAGAACTGAGGGCTGCACAGGCAGTGACAACTGTGTTCCGAATCCCAATTCACAAAGTCCTAGATCAAATTCGGAATCAACCCTATTTCAGAACACCAGCAAAGGCACTGGGAGAATTCATGGGAAGAAACCTTGGCAGGCATTGTGCTTACCACAATGAAAACGGGCATATGACCCAGGGCTGCAGAGCCCTGAAAACACATTTGGAAGACCTGGTGAGACAAGGCCATCTGAGAGACCTTGTTGATGAGGCCAGAACAAGGGAAGAACAGGCAAGATTGCCTCAGGCGACAGCAGCACCACCTCCCCCAGCACAGCAACCACAAGCAGGAGGACTTTGGGTAATTAATGTAATTTACTCGAAGGTCCACGAAAACGAGATTCGGGAGGAGACCTAGAAGGTAAAACATCTGCAGCATGTCTACCAAGTCGGAGAAAAGAGACATCGGGCAGAGGAGTGCCAAGGACCAGTAGTGTCCTTTTCTGAAGCCGATCTTGAGATGGTGCAGCATCCGCATAATGATGCATTGGTAGTATCCCTCCAGGTTGGAGAATGCCAAGTCAAGCGCATCCTGATTGACCAAGGCAGCTCTTGTGACATCATGTATGTCCGATGTTACAAGGAACTTGGCCTTCACCCAGACGACATGGAGCAGTCCAATAGCCCAATGGTCGGGTTCAATGGAACGCCGACATGGCCACTGGGAACAACCAGCTTTGAGGTGCAGGTAGGCACCAGGAAGATAACAACAGAGTTCACCGTAATTGACACACCCTCCCCTTATAACATCATTTTGGGAAGGCCATGGTTGCACGCAATGAAGGCTGTTCCCTCAACTTTGCGTCAACTATTGCGGTTCCCAACAGAGTATGGGATTGAGGAAGTCATAGGA